AAAGGGAAAAAAAAATGCCACCTTTGCAACTTACGCCATATTTCCATTCTGCAGGTCGAAGAAGGGATACACCATCTCCTTTTGCTGTATATCCTGGTCTGCCCTCACAGCGTCGCGCTTTTTCGAAGTGGTATGGAAAAAAAATAAAACAATGACCGCTGGCATATGCATTGTGTAGCGGTGAAGTGGGGTACACATACATGTGCAATTTGCTTGCACTTTTAACTCCCCCTTGATGTGTACACAATATTGCGCCAAATGATCTTTTTCTTTTCCCCGCCTCGTCCTTCTCCGTAGGCTCTCCGGATGAACAGCCAGCGATACCTTGTGGCCTACCCGATATTCCTGCTCTACTCCTGCTTTGCGTTAATTATAATTTTTTAGTGATCTCATCTTTTTTAATGTTTTTAAATCTTTTTTTTCGAGTTGATTCTGCATTTTCAATTCTTCCTTCAGTAGCATTTCATTTTGATCATCACAATAACCAAAATAATGAATATTTACATATTTATCAAAAAACCTGTTTTCCTTTTTTTTTTTTAAAATGAACTTTTTCCGATCATCGCTTTCTTTTAATAGTAATTCCTTTACGCCCTTCAAATTTTTCGCTGCCCCGAAGTACTTGTAGTTGTTGTTTCCCTTCAATTCGCTACCTGTGGGGTGGATGTAGGGACAAGGAAGACATTAAAGGAAGGGAGAAATATATATATGGTGCACACGGGGAAGAACACCACAAATGAACAAGCGAAAGGGCACAAATCACGCAACGTGCAAACTTACAGTGCGCATTGATCAGCGTGTTCGACTCCGTTTGGTAATCCGGGCCACCGAGCTGAAGGGAAATAAAAAAAACGGTATTGCCGCATTAAGTGGGGTGTCAAATTGGGTGCTGTAAAGGCGCGATGAGTGGCGAGATAAGTGACGTATTTATACTGTCATAAGAAGCGCTTCCACATACAGACAGCAATCATTCTGTCCACATTTTTTTCTCCTCTTGCTACGCTTCTCTCACGCGCCATCGGCACTACTTCTCCCCTTACCTCTATTATCCTAATTTCCCACTTATTTTTAATTGAAATTAATTTATTTATCTGGTCGTTCAGTTCCCTTATATGCTGGTCGCTCAAACTGTAGTTTTGAATTTCTTTTATCTTGTTGCATATTTCTTTGATGATATGTCTGCGGCTGAGGAGGAGA